GTGGCCAGGGCTCAAACCAGAACTCCTGTGGGATGCCAGTGTGGCAGGCGGCAGCTTAATCCACTGCACCACAGGGCTGGCCCCTCAATTACTTCTTAATATAAAAACCTTTTGTTCTCAGATCTAAAGATACAGCACTTCCTCCTACTTTTAAGGCAAAAGAAAAAAAACAGAGATTGAAAGAGACAGTATAGTTCCTTTGTGTTTGGGTTTTGTTTTTTGGAGGAGGGATATATCTACTTCATTTTACATACATTCCAAAGATTCCCTTCTCTCCTGTATCCAGATTCATTTTTGAAATATGCCAAGAGCATCTACAAAATCAAAGAAATCTTACTTTATGATATCAAAATCAAAGGTCTTACCTGAAAACATTTTAAAAATCAAGGAAAAATCGAAATGTACCAAGAAGTTGAGGTCAGGCCAGGGAGAGGGCACAGGGGTGTGCACTGGGAAAAAGGGAAGTCGAATGACAAAACACCAAGTATTCTTGGCTCATAGGAAAAGCTGCTCCGTTCATTTACCCGGAAGCACCACACAAAAGCAGCTGCCCATTTCTCTGTTTGAGTTTCCTGAATATAACCGGATCACCAACTGGCACCCATTGTCCCAGGCTTCCAGAACAATGTCCACTAGCATAAATCCGTCAGCTCTGGTACACGGCCAGAGAGCTGAAAACGAATGCCATGGAACTGAATGAGTGTGCATGTGACATACCTAGCGCCACAACCCCACGCGGGCAAGATCTGTGCACGAGCTGCCCTCGGCACCTGTGAGCACTGATGGGTGTGCCAGCCAGCCAAGGAGTGCCCCATGCTGCAGGCTGTTCTGTCCATCGCTCTGTCTCCTCACATCTCCACCATCTTCAGAGTCTCTGCAGATACCCGGTGGCCTGGGATGCCCCAGTCAACATCCAAAGACCTGAACAAAGTGAGAGGTGCAGAGGCCAAACCAGCGAGGGGAGGAAGGCGGGCTGGGTTTCCAGGGCCCTCAGGACTGTGTTCCCACCTACTTTTTGGGCAACCCGCAGAGGATGGCAGCTGCTAACTTAAGGGGAAAAAAAGTGCACGGTGGAGGAGGCAAAAGGATTATTTTTAAGAAAGGCACAATCTAACTTTTCTCTCTCCCGCCTACTCGGCACCGCCTCCTCATTCCCTTGTCTCTCCTCCTGCCTGCTCCTTCATTTCACTTCGCTTTCCCAGGCTCCGTGTCCCCCACTCTCACACATGTTTCCTTCTGTGTCCCCGGCTGGGACACCAGCTCTGACGCCACGCTGGGAACAGCAGCTGCGCCACGGTTTGGAGCTGCTGCGAGCTCAGGCGCGAGTGAGGCTGGCTGGCTTCCTCCTCCGTGCTGCAAATGCTTAAGGATCAAACGCACGTGGGTTTTTTTAGAAGCCCTGCCTTGACACCAGAGCCATAGAGCAAAGAAAAGGCATCTCTGTGATGAGCTAAATGAACCTGTTAATTATGTCATCTTCCTGATGTGCCTGAACACTGGAAGAAAACTGGCTTATTTCTTCTCCGTGAGGCCCTTTCTTAGCCAGTCCTATGCCTCTTTGATGAGGCTTCTGAAGAGGAGTTGCTCTGGTTCTTTGCGGAATCGAGAGCACTCTGAAGTGTGCATCCTGAGTCACCGTGCCCCGCGGATCAGTTCCTTCTGCCACCTGTGGGTAGCAAGCAGCTCCACACACTCACACTCGGGAGTCATCTGCTCAGACTGAAATACCACTTTGGCAGTATGGAAATCCTGAGGCACGTCCCCATGAGGGATAATTAATGGTTAGAACCAGATATTACACGGCAAAGGGGAGAACTATAAAGATGATGTGCAAGGTGTAAAGACCAGAACATGAACTGGATCTTCATCTAGCAAGTGGGAAATATTTAGACAAAAGCAATGCTCATTCTTTTTCTGTAGTGACCCATTCATTCAAGTACTCTTGAACAAACACATGCTGAGCTCATACTGCCAGGCACCGTCCTAGGTGCCCGAGACAAGAGAGTACACAGGACAACCATGATCTCTGATTTCATAGAGCTCACAGTCCAGAATCCGCTCAAGACAGAGCTGTGGGCTCACAAAAATCACACAAGTTGTGGCATGCATTGAGAAGGAAACATGCACAGAGCACAGAAAGAATAACTCAGGAGAACCTGCTTAGAGACAGTAAGAAGGAAAGGCCTCTCTCAAGAGGCAAAATTTAAAAGCTGGAACAGGAAGGAACAGAGAAGTTAACAAGGATAAGAACAGAGTGACCGTTTCAGGAAGATGGGTTTATACGTGCAAAGGTCCTGAGGCAGAAAAGGCTTTGACACTGAAGACCCAGAACGTCACTGTGACTGGAATAAACCAGGTAAGGAGAGAATGAATGGCATCATGCAGGCTTGCAGAGATGCTGAGGGCCATGAGGTCCAACTGAGACTTGATTCTAATGGCACTGGAAGTTTTCAACAGAGGAATGACATGACCTGGTTTATGCTTTATGATGATCAATGTGCTCTGTGTGGAGAAACACTTGAAAAGCAGAGGCTGCGACAGCTGTCTAAGCAGCAGAGGACAATTCTTTGGGCCAAAATGTATAGCAAAGCTGCAAAGGAGTAGGCAGATTTGGACACATTTTAGAAGTAGAACTAACACTGAAGGACTCATGTGGAGGTGGAAGGGAGTGAAGAATCACAGACGACTCTCACAAAATTATTATTTATATGTGGCTGGCTCATTTCAGAAGTTAGAAGCGTCACATGATGCCGTGCTAGGCACATGCGGGAATCGTGTCAATGGGTCACGCTAAATCTATAGATAAAAGTAACCCAAACACCTCAGATCCAAAGATAACAGACACTGTATGTGGCTATTCTGGAAAGATCATAATGGTATATTGGGTATCTGTTTCTATAAGGAGATTTTCCTATCACAGTTTTACTGCCATGTTGGTGCCAGAACCCTCAGGGTTAAATGTCTTCCAATATCTGGTGCAACAATTCTGAGTTTTAATTAGAACCACAGCCGATAACCAGGGCCCACTTTATCTGCTCTGCAGCATATGTGGCAGAGAAAATATGATCATTTCTAAGAGGTCCTGCTTGTCAGATTGGATGACTCATGTCACGTATGTCAGAGGCACTTACTGACCAGCATCACTTACCAACCAGCAGGAAAAACTATAAATTGGAAATTCATAAATAATATCCTTATGATCATTTACCAATTTGGTCCTTAACAACTGTTTCTCCGTAGGATTCCTTAGAAACCAAACATGCAACGCAATGCATTATTTCCCAAGAGGGGAGCTCCAAGGATACAGAGGATGGATTGCCTTGTTTATTTTACACACTGGATTCAGACTGGCCCCCAGATGCCACGGAAAGCAGCAGGATTTTGTGGCGATGCATAGGCTCTTTCTGATCTGTTTATTCCTTATTACTCATCTGAGTGTTTCTGGCATTTTGTTCCCATTGCCCTTCCTGGTACATAAGCTATCATCTCAAAACCCCTTGGCCCTTTTGTCTTAGGAGAGCATCTCTTTCCTTGGTAATACATATATAGTCATGGTGCAATCTTACTCTTAAATTGCAGAGTGAAAGACAACTTACCAGAGAGATAAAGAAAAACGACACATGCACTATGATGGGTTCCTCATTGACAGGTCTTGCAAAAACAGATCGTAAGTAGAAAGAAACCACAGCGCTTTATTTGAAAGGTCCATACTAATAACTGTAACATTTTTATACCTTTTATTGTACATTTCAAGGACTTTGCTCAAAGCAGATCCTATTATTTTCATAGATACATGAAGGATCCCTTCTTTCAGAAAGTCTTTCCCCCAACACTCCAAGAGAAAACACCTAACTTTAGTCTCCTGCTCTCTGTTCCAAGCCTCACATGCATTCCAACACCTTCCAATTTTAATGTAGTGGTCCATCTCCCCACTCTCCTCCAACCTTTCAGCTGTAATCTGCTGGTCCATCTGCATTGCTCCTCTCAGCACAGCACTTCCCTCGCTTACTAAGCCACCTGCTCAATTCCACGGCAAGACTATAAAAGATTCACACCTCACACCCTCTGTAACTCTGTAAATTCTCTTTTCAACACCCCTGAGTTGCTTGTGCTAATCCGGACTGTGAACTGAACTTGATCTTTATCTGCATGACCCATAATGCATTTTATTTCAGCATCCCTATTTCCATAACTGTGGCACAGATAGAGATGGAGAACACGCGCAGAGCTCTGCCAACGTGAAAAGCTGTCACTGCGTAAGTCCTTTTGGGGAAATCTCCCCAAATTGCCATGTGTTACTACTGCGCATACTCATTCTCACTTCAGCCACAAGGCTACCCACATAGCCAAATACTCCCCACGCTAACAGAAACAAGAAGCAACATAAATAGGTGCCTTAGCACACAGTCAACCCCATTGCTTGATTCCAAGGTGTTCTCTGACCTCCTGTTATTCTGCTCTTAGTAACACTTTAATCCAGTGCATTGTATCTAAGATGCTCAACATTTCGAGGCCTGGGTCCTTCTGCATTCTTCTCTGATTTGCATGATGCTTCTTCATTATTCTTTCATAAAGCATTGACCTGACCCGTGATCAGGTTAAAGATCTCCTATAACTCTACTATCTGAAAAGACACATAAATTTTTATGCACATACCTTCACCTGTTGCTTCGGCAGAACCTATTTCTGTGCAGAAATCATTCTTTCAGAGTCATCCAGCAACCACTGATTTAGTTAACTACCGTACGCAACACGTAGTTCACTGATCAAATGTAGAAAACACAACATGCTTCCAGGCTGTCGGATGTTTCTGATTAACTCAGAATCCTACCAGATGACCTCCTAGATCAAGCTGCCAGTACAAGACAAGCATCCCCTCAGACATGAGCCTGTGATGCAGCCCATCCCCATGGGGTTGAGTCCCTCCCCATTAACCGCAAGACTCCAAGAAACTAAAGAAGTGTGAGAGAGACAGAGGCACCAGCCCACGGGGGACTCACTGAGAGGCTTGAGGATGCTGCTGCTGGACTCGTCAGCATTTTCCACGTCAGATTTGTCAGAGTAGTTCTCGGAGATTCTCTCCTTCTCCCTCTTCTCCTTGTGCCCTGTCTTCCTCTTGTGGCGTCTCCTTCTCCGGTAGCTCTTCGGCACATGAACCCCGATGTAGATGGTGTGGTGGCCTAAGGGAGGTACATGAATCACCAGTCATTTCAAAGCATATTCTCTGATGCGTGCAAACTGCACGAGATCTGCGAATCGGAAGAAAATGTCTGTGGATTCCACATTACCGTTCTGGACCTGGCAACCTCAAAATGGAAAAAACAAAGCTTCCTCCCAACCTTCCGAAAGCTACCAAGCGATTCAACCTGTTGCTTAGCACTGGGGTTCTGCAAGTGTGTAACCTAGTTCTTCCCAGATGGACTACTTTTGCTCAGAAAAACCAAGAACACTGAACTGGAAACCAGGAATTCTTGATTCCGGTCGCACATCTGCCATCAATTATCTATATGACCTTGAGTATGTGTCTGAGTGGTTTTGTTTTGTTTTGTTTGTAGTTTTTGTTTGCCTGTTTGTTTTTTGTTTTTTGTTATTGTTGAGCATGTAACTTCACCACTCTGGGCCTCAACCTCCTCGTTTATATAATGAGATGCATGAACTCAGTACTCCCCAGAGGATTCTTCAAGTCCAACCTCCCGTGAGCCTATGACTGCACTGAGGGAGGTACTGGAAAACCGGTGGTGGAGCCACAAGAATAAAGATGTAACTCAAAGTTCAAAATGTCATTTTGCTGGGGATCAGGTTTTACATGAAAACTTTCTTTTTACCCAATCAGCAGAAGAAAGACTTGAAACTGGGACAAACTGAGAAAAATAAGACATCCTCGGAGAGAAGATTTTAGAAATACTCAAACGTTCACACTAGGAAACAGCTAAAATGAATGTCAGCTACAGTGCCATTCTCATTTTTCTTTTTTCATTTCCAAAAGTTTCTAAAAACTGGTTGTTGGGATGACAAAAATAAACCCGGCCCAGCAAAAATTGCCTTGAAGAGAAGGGCATGAGAGAAAAAGATGGTGAAATGGTTTCTGTTCTCTAAATGGAAGAAGCTGCAAAGCTGACAACTGGTATTATTTTTACAAAATCTGATAAAACAAACAAAAAAAGGAGCTCAAAAGTTGCACACCATTTTTTTTAAACCTGGTAAAGTTTTCTTCTCACTTTATACACAGCATCATTTCTGAAAGTGGGACCCATCATTTCAAAAGTCACCTGAACATGTTTTTATTTTGTACTCCAAATTAGATGAGGCTCTCTCCCCTGTGAGACTCCTCTCCCATTTCTGGAAGTATCCTTTGGTGACAACTTTACAGTGTCATGGGCCTACATGCACTTATACAAGCAGACAGCATGTGTGTGCACACACTGCTGTGTGCTGCTTCTCAAAGTCATTCATCAAGCAGATCTGAAAACATCATAACTCACATGGGTGTCTCCTTAAACTGTCAGGGTAAAAGGAAGTAAAAATTTTAAAAAATAAAGAAGAATCATAGAGTGCTTTAAGAAAGAGGTTCCAACTGAGGAACAGATAGCCCTAAGTGAATGGACCAGTGTTCAAAAGAAAGTACCTGGTGCTGGGAACGAAGCAGGAGGCATCTTTAGATAAAGCAGAAACCCTCCCATTCAACATCCTGTACACAGAGACACACACACAACTATCTGCTACAACACACAGCGAAACTCATTCTCTGCACGGACTGTGTGCCAGTGAGAAATTCATCATGCCTAATTATTTGCAAGCAGATTGTTCTCATGGGAAACCTTTATTATATGAGGAAGTAGGAAACATCTCAAAAACAATGTGACTTAAGAAACAGTGTCAATTGTTTCCTGCATTCCAGTTATTGAAGGAGTCTAGCTCTATCACAAGTCCCAAACATGTAAGTAAAGAAAACCTAATCAATTTCTTCAGGAACTCACACACTGAAAGTTGGTTGCCTTCATTAAGAAATTAGGAAAATGCCACACACATACACACACACACACACACACACAAACACACACACACACATAAAAACAAAGGGCTGGAAAAGCTTTTAAAATCCTATCACATTAAAAAAAAAACCCTAATACATTAAAAAGTTTTACATCTTACTAAATTATGACAACTAAGCAAAAAATGGCAATGAATGAATTAGCCACACTGATGTTAAACAGAAAGCATTTTTACTGTATTTACCCAAACTCTGCATACTCAACCAAATAATTTAAAAGACAGTCTATGTGGACAGATAGGATTTTAAGGTCAGATTCATGGCTGTGAAGTGTTGATGTCAACCTAATGAGAGTCTGGGTGATTGGGAGAGTCGGCCTTCAAATCCTGAAGAGGCAGGCGCCTTGTCCTTTGGAACCTAGCTTGAGCTGTGATCATCACAGAATGGCACCATCTTGTTCACGTCATGGTACCAGGCAGCCTCCCTGCGGTCAGCTCAGCTTGTCCCTGCAGCCTCCAGCTCCTCCTCTGCTCACGGCAGTGGGCAGGGAAGCTTGCAGAGACCATGCTGCACTAGGTGGTGCTCTGGGGCCCAGACACTGAGCAGAAAAAGGCCTTCCTCCCAAGCCATCCCCAGCTTCAGGCATTTTTCTAACAGCTCTGTTGAGGTATAATTCACAAACCATAAAGGCCACTCAGCATCAGGGTACAATTCATTGATTTTAGTACACTGACAGAGTTGTGCACCCATCACCATAATCCAACTTTACAACATTTCTACCAAGCCAAAAACGATCCCTCATGTCCATCCACAGTCACTGTCAGTTCCACTCCTGGCCCTACAACCTCTCTTTGGCATTTTTATCTTCTCAGGGATGGCCTTGGGAAGCTACAATTTTCTGGCACCTGCATGGCTATGAACATCTTATAGAGATCATTACAGCCTGGTTAAATAGAACAGTCCCTGAGCAAGGAAGAGATTCCCCTCCAAGAAGTACCAGAGGCGATCATGGCAGTGAACTGAGCGATTCCAAGCTCAAAGCACTCTCCCTCTCCTCCCACACGTTGCTGAAAACTGGATGCTGCCTTTCCACTTCATGGTCAGGCGGAGGAGAAGGTTAAGTGGACCTTTAGGAGCTCAGGGACAGTGTCTGCTGCTTCATCAACTACTTCTCAGCCTCCCTCCACCCCAGCTTCTCTGCCATGGTGGGTGGGAGAGAGGGAGGCAAGCTTTCTCAAAGACACAGGCAAATATTGAATAAGCTGTAATGTGCCAAGAAACAAAAATACCTGAAAGCAAATGGGCTGGAATGGGAGCCCCCATAGAACAGCTACCTTCACAAGCAAGAGCAGCAGCCTCACTGTCAAAAATCCGCTGCTGGTACTGAGATTCTCATAGGTGGATCTCAGTCTTTACTTGTCATTACAATAGCTGCACCTGTCTCAGGGATGTGTCACAAAGATGGATGGCTATTTTTAAAATTGCAACTCACATAATGACTGCAAGCTCTGAGGGAAGCCACAGGTTAAGGGTATAGCGTTGTTTTACATGGAAAATGAAAAGCAGAAACTTGACAGACAAGTTTCCCCATCCAGCAAAAGTGGATAAAACAGCAAGATGCTCAAAGACTCAGGGACAGTTACCTGTTTCTATTAAGGGAATTTTTAGGCTGACAAAAAAAATTATCTGGTGGAAATTTCAAGAAAACTTTCTTCCAACAATAACAAAAAGAAAAAAGGAAAAGATTTTAAATAGCTATAATTTATAAGGAAAAAGGGCGATTATCTTAGATGTCATTAAACTAAAGTTTATATTCCTGCAACTCAAAATGAAAACTAAAATAAAACTACTGGAATCTATATCTCACAGTGTTTCTTTAAGGTGTTCAGTCAAAGGGTGTTCCAGCCTTGATTTGGATTGGCCTCAGTATCATGTGTCCAAATAAATACCTTTCGTGCCTTTCTCTGATAGATGGTACAAGTCCCCAACAAATGATAATCCACACTGCAGCCAGGACTACTAGGGTGAAACGTGGCCTTTCTGGTTATCTCTATCAGGAGTCATCACCACGTAGTTCCTGTTTCCTCCCATGCTCACCTGCTCCACCCCAGCTGCAAGCAAAACATACCTGTGAAGCCATCACACCCAATTCTCCCAATTCCTGAGACAGGTCTCACCTAACTGCATACTTCCCATTAGGGGTTATAAAGCTCTCAGGCAAACAGAGAACTCTTAACACTTAGTAACTCTGGAGCCATTCAAGTGACAGTGGCTTCCACAGGTACCCATGTTTCCACCAAGGATGACTTAGAGCCTTTCAGAAATAAGTCCTCAAGTCCTAAAAGAGTTTTATACCAGCTGGGTCTAAAATTCTACAGATGACTGCATGGTTTATAACATGAGCCTTTACGTGCAAGATGGATCTATTAGCTCCTTCTTAAGAAACATGTTGCTGTTTTTACTGTATATATAGACAGTTACAAATCATTTAACCAGTGTGTCAGATTTTTTACATCCATCACCTTATGCATTCTTGCAATTATTCCCATTGAGCAGGTACAAAAGCCAGTTTTGGGTAAGTCAAGGATGTTGTCTTTTTCATAAAATTCCACACAAAAACTCTCGCTCTCTGAGGTCAACATTCAGAATAGTTGAGTGCCTCTTCACTACGTTGACAGTGCTGTTGGTAATACACACTACATCTGTACTATAAATTTCATAACTGATTGTACTTCCTTCCTCATGGCAACCACTACAAAGGAAGGGACAAACCTGGGACCAACATGGAGTGAGTCTTTAGCTTCATGACATGCATTTTCTACACTCATCTTATGCTTCCAATTGTTCAACTGTTACCCTCCCTTCATCCAAGTGAATAGGGCAGGATAAGGTTTTTTCATGTTCTAATTCATGTTCTAATTCATCATCAAAGGACAGGGGAAATCTTTACCCAGAATCCTACCTTTCCCCACCTCGAGCCAGCCCACCCTCTCTCTCTAGCCTCTATATACATCTCTAATTAAACACTGAGAGACATTCTGAATTTGGTTTGTATCCACACTGTTGCTCATTCTATAAGCAACTGAATTTCTGTTCTCTCCAGTGCAAAGCAAAAACTACAACACGTGGCACTTTATATCATTCTTTCAGAACTAATCAGCAATATTCCCAAAATATAAGTTAAACACT